GGATCACCAAACCCAACTATCTCATCCCAGTATCTTCCACTATTTTTTCCTAGAACAGCTTGGCTTTTCATTGTCCCAAAGAACCAATATTTGCTTACAGCAACAGGTGACTTGTAATCTAGTTTAATATGGTTGTTTCCTAAATCCAGAAACTCTTAAGAGGCACATATAGCCCACCGACACACAAAAGCAGATCTGAGCACTGTACCACACAGCTGAGTGCTCGACTTCTGATGGCCACTAAGCAGCACACCAAACTTGCCTTTCTCTATCTTCTCACTTTTACACTCTATGGTCACCAATTAACTTTCGTAAAGCCTGCCACAAGTACTGCCAGATACTCTGCAACCTCACTGTACTGAAGACACTCCATTTCAACTACTGTTTTATTTTTTAACTTTTGTTTTAGTACAGGGTCTCACTACACATATCAGACTTGTAGGCCGGGGACATAGCTTAGTAGAATAAGCGCTTCCCGGGCAAGCACAAGGGCCTGAATTCAATCTCCAGTTCCGCCAAAAAAACAAAAAAACAAAACAACAAATCAGACTTGTAGTGATTCTCCTCTTTTCAGCCTCCTTCCCAAGTACTGGGATTACAAGTGCGCCACCATGCCCAGTCTCAATCACTGTCTCAGCACAGCAAGTGGGGAACAGAACCCCTGGCCCCTGGGTCTGCCTAAGCAAGCACTTTAATCCACAGAGCTATCTGGCCAGCCCTTCAACTGTTATTTTATGCTTCCTATTTATTTTAGTTTTTTTCAGACAGGGTCTCCTATGCAACCCAGGCTGGCCTCAATCTCCCAGCAATCCTCTTGCCTCAGCCTCCAGAGTTTGGGATTACTGTGTGCCATCACACCTGCCTATACATATTTTTTTTTTGTGAGAGGGTGTTACTAGGAATTGAACTCAGGCTCTTACACTTTCCAGGCAAGCGCTGCACTACTAAGCTAAATCTAAATCCCTAGCCCTCCCAAGAGGTATCAGGTAGATGACATTCTTACTTTTTCTCTATGGACTCGTTTCATTGACTGCCATACCTCCACTGCTCAGGATGCAGAAAATGTTCAGAGAAGCGCCACCGAGGACTAGGGATATGGCTCAGTGGTACAGCAGCTGCCTGTTGTGCATAAAGCCCTGGGTTCAATCCCCAACAACATAAGGTACACAAAAAGCTGAATAATGAAACGAACAAATGAATCATGGAACTGAGCTATCATCTGCCATTCTCCTTCAGCCTGACCAGAAGCCATGACAGGAGCTGTCTGAAGCAGACTGCCCATCTTAACACTGCCACTCAGGTACCAACACAGTTCTGCCACCAATACCGCAAGGATTCATGGTCACTAGGGGCAACCAAAAGCAACCCTGGATGCATCACCCCCTGAAAGACCCACTCACCATGCTTTTGCACAGGAGGCCCAGGATCTCCAACAGGAGGGAAGTAGCTTTGCCCAACGGTCTCAAAGGCTTTGTAGTCTCCCTACAAGAGAAAAACCCTCATACTGATGGACTCCACAGCTCTCCATCCCTCTCCAAACCCAAGCATCTAATCTGACAAACCAGCTTCCCCATCTCCTCCAACCTTTACCTCTCCTGAACTGCACCCCGAAAGGGACTTACCTGAACAGTTCTCCCATGGAAACCCCACCTTCCTGCAGAATGGGTGTTATCAGTTCTGCCAGGTAAAGCCACACATGGGGGACATCAATCTCCATGTCTTCAGCCAATTCCAGAATTTCATACAGCCTGCAAAGGAAATTCAAAACGCATCATGGGGGGCCAGGGAGATGGCTCAGTAGGATAAGCGCTTGACTGGCAAACGCAAGGATCTGAGTTCAATCCCTGGTTCTGCAAAAAAAAAAAAAGTACTTCCGCTTCGGTCATGTTTACAAACCATGTACCTTTTCTAAGTTTAACTTAAAAAAAAAAAAAAAAAAAAAAAAAACGCATCATGGGGAAGGCCAGGCCTCAGCTCCATACAGCTGAGGGTCATCTATAGGACTTCCACGGACACTTTCTAGACATAGACATGGGGTAATTAAGCTAAGAACACCTTCTTGTCCTCTCAAGTTCACCTCCTACCAGTGATGTTTACAGGGATAACTGAGCCTATCACCTTATCGTAAGGCCCTGGACGCCCCAGAGGCTGTCCTACCCTCGGTAGTACTGGGTGGTAGAGAGGAGCCCAGCACACAACAGCCTGTGCAGCAGCTTCCCCATGTGTTCCCGAGCGATGGTGCTGCGCTCCAGTGTGGACTCGATGCCGTGCCGCACAAAGATGAAGAGCAGGGAGGGTGAGGCCAGCTCCTGTACACACTGCACTGCTTCCTAGGGACAAATGGGGAGGTATTCACCTCCTGACCCAGGCCCTGCACCCCATACGCCAGCCAGCCCTGCCATTGCCTACCTTCATATCATTCAGGTGGAGATACTCCTCAATAATGGCCTTAGACTTCTTCTCCAGCTCTTCCTCAGAGAGAGTGGCCTTTGGAGGGCTCACCGGGGGAAGGGTGGCTTCCCGCTTTACTGTAGGGTGAGACAGCCTTCAGTTCCAGTCTTCTTAGCTAACAAAAGCTGGAGCTCCCAAGAGAACTAGGGCCAGCTGGTCCCAAACAAACCAGCAGCCTCCCCAACTCCTGTCCCAATCCCTCACCGGTGTCCCTGCCCCGGTCCCGGTCTTCCGTGAGGCTCGCTGCCTTGCGCAACCCCTCCAGCTGGGAAGGCCGCTCTCTACTCCGCTCTTCCACTTCCTTGCTGAAGCTTCGCTTGGTGGCAGGTGTCCGAGCACGATCAGATCGGTCCCCACGGTCACCACCCCGTTCACTCCGCTCTACTCGGTCTCCCCGGTCCCCAGCTTTCTCACCTCGTTCCCGGCTCAAGCTACTCCTGAAACAAGGAGGCACATTCTTGCGTAACTTCCCAATCTGCCCAGCAAGTGTTGAGCCTTGTGCTTGGCATCGAGTATATGCCCAATCTTAGCAAGGGGCTGCAAGCATCACAGGTGAGAAACTCCCATGTTTTGACAACCAACCAACACCCAATCACAGCACACCCCAGTGAAAAAAGAACCCCATGGAAAGTTCACCTCTGCACCACACGTCTATTATCTGAGCTCTCCGTAGGTACTGCTTGTTGAAGCGCTGAGAAGCGATTCAAAGTACTAGTAGCCGGACGAGCAGATTCTGATGCTGAGGAGACAGAGAACTCAAGCTAGATCTCTTCCTACCTTCTTGCATTCTGCCCACCTGACAGGTTAGGGCCCTCGGCCTTGACGCTGACAGTAACACCTCCTACCCACTTTCTCATTACCCAACCACCTGTACTGAAGCCGCCCCTCAAGGGTGCCCACACTGCCAACTGCCACCCCTTTCCCAGGCTTGTACCTGCATCTGAGGGCTTGGCTCCAGAGCCCCCGCTGCTGCCCTTGCCCCAGCTGAGTCGCCCTCCTGGTGCAAACAGCTGGTTGTTGGAGTCAATGGAGCCAGGCTACAGAGGAGACAGCACAAGTCGCAAGTCTGACCAGGCAGTCAGCCAACAGCCCCCACCCTGCTACACCGGCATCAAACATCAGACTTCAGGCTCCATGAGCTTAGATCTCCAACTCAACTACTCAATTCTGCCACGGCAATGTGAAAGCTGTCCTAGCTGACACTTTGTTGTCTTCTGATGAAACTTCACTTAAAAACACTGACATTTTTTTTTTTTCCAGTTTCTTAAGACAGAGTCTTGTTACATATAGTCCAGGATTGCCCTCAACTCACTAGACGGCCCAGGCTGACCTCAAACTTACAGCAATCTTCCTGCCTCAGCTTCCAGAATGTCAGAATTACAGGTGTGCACCACAACACCCAGCAAAATTTAAATTTTATATCATAAAATACCATTTACCTTTATTTTTTTCAACCATTTAAAAACAGAAAAGAATGGGGCTGGGAAGATAGCTCAGTAGGATAAGTGCCTGCCTGGCAAGCTCAAGGACCTGAGTTCAATCCCCAGTTCTGCAAAAAAAAAAAGATCGGAAGAGCACACGTCTGAACTCCAGTCACGCCGCAACATCTCGTATTGCAAAAAAAAAAAAAAAAAAAAAAAAAAACAGAAAAGACGATTGGAGAGATAGCTCAGCAGTCTAAGTGCCTGCCTGACAAGCGCAAGAACCCAGGTTCAATCCCTGGTACCACAAGCCGTGCCGGCCTAGAACCCCAGGTGCGCCAAGCCAGCCACTGAAACCAGGCACAATGGTGCACACCTGCAATCCCAGTGCTAGGGAGGCTGAGACCAGAGGATCACTACGAGTCCAAGCTGCGTAGTAAGACCTTGACCAAATAAATAAATAAATGATTAAAATAAACAGAAAAGAGGCTAAAGCAGGAGGATCACCACAAGTTTGAGGCCAGTCTGAGGCCTACTTAGTGAACTCAAGGCCAGCTTGAACTACGTAGTGGCACCATCTTCAAAAAAAAATAATAAGGAAAAAAAAAAGCATTCTAAGGGGAAGGTCTACAGGATGTTCAGGGTCTCACTACTAGATCAGACTCGTAGTGATACCCATTTACAGCCTCCCAAAAGCTGAGATTACAGAAAAGAAAAAAAAAAGCAGCAGCAACACTCTCGGCTTGTAGGATACACAGAAGTGGGCAACGCACTGGATTACTGGATAGTTGATTTGCCCAGACCCATGTGAAGAAACCCCTAGAGCTGGCAGTTCTGTGTCTAGCAATTTCCTTTAGTCTAAGAAGAAAGCTTCAGTAACTACCTCTCCAACCTCAGGCAGACTGAGTCCTTTACCGCCTCACTACCATTGCCCCTGGCAGCACAGCCCTAACCTTTGTGATCTTAGTAAGTCGTGAAGTGTCAATGGGCCGGCTGCCTTTGCTGATGGGGACAGTGTTCCAACCACCATCATCCACAAGTGGGAGGCCACGACCTGGAACAAAAAGATGTCATCACTGGAGTAACAGTATCTCTAGCAGCCCCTTCTTAGGCCACTCCAACCTTCCTTTCCTCAGCTCCTCAGTTCCATCACCGGGTTTCAGTGGCCCAGACACGTGGCACTAATAAGAAGTCATCATCGGAAAGCAAACTCCCAGACATCTTTAGTCCTATCCTCTAACTTACTAATAGGTGGGCCTGCAGGGCCACCTCGACGTTTGTCACTGCCCTTGGCCATGAGCTGCTGAACTTTGATATGTTCTCTATGCTCCTCCATCTCAGCCTCCTTATGGATCTGGTCAATGGTCTTGGGACCCTGATCTCCACGGCGCGGCACCCAATTGCTCTACAAGAACAGGAAGCCATTTCCAATTATATCAGAAGTGCCAAGTAATGCGGCACTGACAACTGCAACAGAATGACATGTAAGGAAGAGACATGTACCTGTCGCAGATCCAGGACATCCTGTAGCATAAATCGGATGCGAGATGACGTCTTCTTTTCTTTAATAATTTTTTCCATCTGGTTGAAATACTGATCCATTCGAGGCTATGAAGCAGAGACCAGATCATGAACTTTTAGCATCTCACCAATAGCCCAGACCAGCAGGCTAACAACAACGGCCGTCATGAGTGGCCAGGGGGCCCACAGGTTTCAGCCACCCCCTCTACACCCAAGGAGCCTCACCTTGGCTTTGGCAAAGTCCAGGTCTTTACCAATGGTGGTAAGAAGGCGGCAGAGGCATTCAAGCGATTCTTCATCATGGTTCTTAAGTAGCTTGACCACACAGTCATGCATAATCGCCTCGGTTAACATCTTGAGCTTGAACAACTCGCCAATAAACTTGATGTTCCCTAAGGAGCGCCTGCGGGCGGTGTCCCGAGCCTCTTCCAACTCCTCCTTCAGGCGTCCCCGCTCCTCTGCCTGCCAGTCACAGGACGGCAGTGTCAGAGCTGACAACCGGCACATGCTACAGCCCTCCTCTCTCTACGGTCTGCACACCCAGCCAAGCAGAAAGGCAGGACGCATCCCGCATCCTACAGCCAAGTGGCATCTGGATGAGAGGATGGTGGTGAGCAGGGTGGAAGAATAGCGGGCTTTCTCACCGTAGCAGCCTCATCCATTTCTTTTTGCTTTTTTTCAAAAACTTCATCATCATCTTTGTCTTTCTCAAACTCCTTCTGACATCGGTTCAACAACAGTTTACGGAAGTTGACAGTCACGGTTGGCTTTTCTGTAGTGGGCACTTTCAGCTGTAAGTCAAAGAAAAGGGAACACTGGGACCAGTGGAAGACAGGCAAAGACCTCGGGCACCTAACCCCACCCTAGAGGACCTCTGGTTTTGGCCCCGCCCTTGTAGCTGCCAGCAACAGCAGAGGCTGGAGGGGACCCAAGATGACGAGGCCAACAGCCTCTGGAAGAGCAGCAGGAAGCTAGGCAAGGTTAGAAAAGCACCCACTGACCGCCATGAGGCAGCGGCACATGTTGGCGTAGGCCACAGAGAAGTTGGGCTCTGAAATGGCCTTCTCGAAGATGAGGTCAATGACCCCTTTCAGACGTTCCTCGGTGTCGATGGCCAGCTGTGTCACTTGCTTCATCAGCTGCTGGAACATCTGGGGCGTGAGCTTATTCAGGATGGAGCGCACCCTGCGGAATAGGTCCTGGGGAGGGACAGGGAAGAAACAGAATCCAGTAAGGTTCTCAGGGAGAGGTTGATGGTAGGGACGGAGATAAGGATGGATGAAGGCAAAGTCGGCACAGACGCCAGGCCTGAGAAGCAGAGCAGAGCAAATGCCGCACTTGCCAATACCTGTGTTTTGGTGCCATCAGCGTCTTCCTCTCCCCGCTCCTTGTCAGCCGCTGTTCGCTTGCTGCTGGGTTTCCAGGCCTTCTCCGCTTTATTCAGCTTTATATCTTCAGTCATTAACACTGTGGCAATGATCTTACGTGGTTCTTTCCGGGGGCCCTGCTGAGAGCGCCTAGGTCCCAAGCCAGCCTGCTAAGCAAGGGAGAAGGACAAGTGAAGACACAGCAATGAACACACACGAGCCAGCTGCACACCTCAGGACAGACCTCTCATCCACTCCAGAGCCGCCCCAAGCCCCGCACTCTCAGCCAGCCCCACTCACCGGCCCTCGGGTCAGCTCCCCACCTGGCCCACCCCTTGGGGGCCCACGATTGCTAAGGGCTGGTCGGCCAAGGTTGGCGAAGGGTGGAGTGAAGTCCGGGCCACAATTTATGCCAGGCAGTCTGGAGGGATCCAGTGGCCGCAATGGTGTTTTATTGGCCTGTGAGGGAAATGTGACAAGTCTCACCAACCACCAATGGCTACTGACTCCTCCGTCCATACCTCAAGCTCCTCTCCAGTCAGCCCAGCACAAACTTTTCCTCCTCCCCTTCCAACCACCAACCTTGTCCAGCACCACATCAGTGATATGGGGCAACCCCTCCGGCTTCTGCATACTGGCAAAGATGAACTGAAAGCCAAGCAGGAACTCACGGTCGTAACGCTTTTTCTCCTCAAGATTTAGCGGCTTCCACTGATCTGCAAAAAATAACGTATCCATCACACTTCTCTCTCCTGGGACCCCGCCAAGAACCCACAGCCTTCTCTGCCCTTCCTCCAGCATACCTGACTTATAGTCATACTTCTGTTCCCCAGGCTGAATATTCTCGGCATTGTGGATTTTGTCCTCCTTGGAGTCCCAGGTCTCCTCCACTTCCTCGGGCCCTGGGGGCGCACTGTTGCCCTCAGACTCTGGGCCTGGATTGTTGCTTACAGGAGGCTGATTCTCCGCCTCTGGTACTGTTGGGTTCACCTGCCAAGAACAGTTTTGGCAGCACAGTGGTGAACAGGAGTCCATAACCATGCTCTGCCCTCCCCTTTCCCTCTTTCTTGCTCCCTTACCTCTTTGAAGGCATCAAGGAGGTCTCCCACAGCCTCCTTTTTATTTAGGTCCCTAATTTTCCGTCTCCTTTTTGGCACAGATACTGCCACTAATTAGAAAAAAAAAAAAAAAACACAGATGGGAATAATTTAGATTACCGCTAACCTACGGGGAAATCATACTGCAGCCACAGTGTCATCCCTCCTCTGTGCATCACACCCTCTCCAGGCTTCAGGGTGCTTAGACAGCTCCTAGATCCATCACAGAATTTCCAGGCCCAAGACTCAGTGTCCCACATGGAGGTCACCAATGAAGCCACATCTCCCAGCCTGCCCTACATCCACTATCTAGCCACACCTTACCTTGGGTGGCTGCTGCGGCCTCTGAATTCGGAGACGAGTGGACTGGGACAGGGGTGCTCTCTGAGGAGAGCAGATCCTCTCCTCCCTTCTCTTTCTGAGCTTCAGTTTCTCTTCCTTCTTCCTCCTCCTCTTCTTCCTCCTCCTCTTCCATTTCCTCCTCCTGAGGAGGGGAAGCCACTGGGGGAGTTGAAGGTGGAGTGGCAGGAAAGGTGGCAGGGAGAGTTTCGGATGTAGTGACCTCCTTAACCTCCTCCTCTGGCTCACTGACTGGGCTCAAGTCCACAGCAGGCGGTGAGGGGGCCCCATTGAGAAGTTCCTCAGGTTGGGCAGTTGGAGCAGCAGGCTCCGGAGATTGTGAAGGGCAAGCCACAGGTAGAGAAGGGGTAAGCTCTGGGCTTGACTCCACCTCTTGTTCCAGCTCCTCAGGTGGCACTATGCCGTTAGTCTCAGGAACTTCCACCTTGTGAGATTCCAGGGGGGCAGGAATCTGGAGAGGACTGGAAGAGAACTCAGATTCTGGAATTGGTTTGCTAAGTGTCACTTCTACTTCCAGTATGGGTTCAGCAAGAGGAGTGGGTTCTGGAGAGAGGCAATATGGCTCCTCAGTTTCGTGGGAGGTGGGAGTTGATTCTTCTACAGACATTTGTATCATCCCTGTTGTCATAGGGTCCCCAGGGAGAGAGAGGACTCCGAGATTCGGCTCAGACCCCGGTTCCAAAATTGGGGGCGGTGATGGGGTCGGAGAGGGTGATGAAGGCTGGGACTCTGAAGGGCTGTGCTCTGGACCAGGCAGTCCTGGCCGGCCCCCAACGAGAGTTCCCTGCGACCGGTCATCTGCACCACAGGAAGGAGCCATGAGAAAGAAGGCAGGCCCTCCACACCACTGGTCCTCCTCTCCCAGCCCAGGCCACTCCCTACTCAACCCTAACCCCATCCTTCATCATCTCCTACCAAAGCTACCACCCATTATGACCCAAAAGTATCCACCCTCAAATCTACCACCTGAAACCCAGGCCATTCTGTGGCACCTGATTCAAGTCACTCCACTTCCTTGGAATTTCAAATTATCACACTCCATTTTCCATAAAAGCTCTGTCCCATTGGCTGTCTTACCTGGCCGGACAATGACAGCAACCTGGGGCGTCTCCCCATTAGCTTGAGGCTCCAGACCGCCTCCCGTCTGCAGGACACAAAGGGTTACCAAGTTTGCACTGCAGAGTCCCACAACCCTTCTTTACTAGAGCCATTTCTACTTTAGCTCTGCCTAGAAATCCAGGAAAGCAGGGAAATAAATCCCTTAATTGAAGAAAGAGATCACAGGACTTGGTAGCTGAGGGCAAACATCCATCTCAGCGAGGCACTGAAAAGAGGAGACAGTACCTGGGGAGGGGTGGGCGTGGAGGCAGTCCGGGCCCCAGACATGATCTCTTCCGTGATATCTTTCCCTCCTTGGTTTGGATCTCGAATTCGGATCTGAGAAAAGAAAACTATGGCATAAGCGGGAAGCAGGAGGAGCTGACCTCTCCACACTATCCCACTGCTGAGACTCTAGGCCAACTCCCCACCCCCTACTGGGAGGCAGGTGGGTGGGTGCCAGAAAGCCTGAGTTTGGTCAACCCATCTGGCTGGCTCTTGTAAGTCTCTGCCCTAGCCCCCACACCCTCTAAGAGACCCTTGACCTCATAGAGCACAGCCCTAAACATCACAATGCCCCTCCCCACACACCTTGCCCCAACAGCAATCCCCAAGTCAGAAGCTGCACACCCTAAAGCCCAAGACCCCCATTTAGCACCTAGCTAGCTCACTTGTGGCCGGTCAGCCTGATCTCTGGGGGCAGGGCCCAGATCCAGTGGGTGGAGCCAGGGTGACTCAGCGGCTTCCCCAGCCCTGGCACC